TCCCCGCAGTGTGAAAGGTCACACAGCCTCACAGCGAGAGAGCTCTCGCGGAAATGCCGACATGATGTGCGCGAGTCAAACTCAGCCTCGGAGGGCTGGCGGTCTGGCTGCTTAGGCGAGATGTGCCAAATCACCGACGACCTTCGACCCCGGGCAGCAAAGTGTCGGGGACATGCCGGTCAGCCCGGGCCGGGGGAGGCGCCCTTTTCTCGGGGGGCCGGCAAGTTTGGGAGCTTAGGTTGTTGCTGACCGCCTACGAATGCAACTGGGCTGTTTGCCATCACGGGGACGGGGGAGGGGGAGCCGTCGTCTGAATGAATCGAACACCAGGCTGGTTCCTGCAAAAAAAGGGTAACGAATATTCGTATTCCGCAATGTTATCTGCTGCTTGGATCTTCCCTCCATTGGGCTGAAGTGGGCACACGTGGGCAGGGACGGGAAAGACGGCCTTGCACACTCTCTACGGCGGATATCCAATGCTGATCTCTGAGGTTCGAGAAGGGGCTATTGGGGAGGTGATGTGCAGAGGAGAGGTCAAGCATTTTCTTGTTCGTCTGCGGTGTGGACCGGTGTGGTCTTTTTCTGTGGTGATCGTCGGTGGTGCTAGGGGATATGGTCCATATGGAAAGAGATGTTTCCGAGGACGGTGTTGTATTTTGTGATTGGGGTTACAGGGAAGTACATGGTTGGCAGGCACGGCTGTTAGCACTGGACTGGTGATTACGGATAGCTTTACCGCCATCGCTGGCCAGATGCGATAGGGGGTTCCATTTGGTCTTGTCGCAATTTGCCCGAACGGTTCGGGTTGGTTGCCCATATCACGGATTTGGGCGGTCTTCTGCTTTCTTTCGCTTTGGGGGAGACGAGGGAACAACAAGATTGGATTTGGGTGGTTTCGGGGAGGGATCGACATGCAGTCTCCGCGGAAGCAGATGCATCAGCGCAGAGAGATGCGGCGGGGAGAAAAATACGAGGTGACCCAGACTTCGGTTCTTGGTTTCTTTTGAGAGCAGTTGAAGAGCCGGGGAGGATAAGGCGGAGAGGGGAGGGGTGTTGGGGCAGGGGGGACGATAGCGAGTGGGTTTGAGGCAAAAAAGAACTGAATGGGACGAGAGGAAAAAAAGAAAAAAAAGGGGTAGGTGGTGGGGGACCTTGTTGGAGACTGTGAAGCTATTCGTGAAGCTGGATTTTGTGAAGGTTGCCCGGAGATTTGATGTCCACTTGGCGGGCATTGCATAAATCCCGCGAATGGGTGACATGTTTTTATGCAAGAGGAAAAACGAGATTCGACGAGAGAGATGTCCAACGTAGCCCGGTCACGAGTGTGAGATGACAGATACCTTTTGAGTAAGCAGACTCGGCCCCCAAAAGTTGCATTTGCGAATTGTTCTTTGGTGCGACCGTTGCATCGCGTGCGCTGTGCCGTTGCGTATTGTCGTGGTATTCTCCCGTTGCGTGGTTTTAAGGTATTCCGGGGGAGGCGAAGGGCGCTCGTTACCGGATAAGCGGCGGGCAAGATGGAGAGACCGCTTTTTCTGCCTTTGTTTGTGGCGAAAGTTTAAGCTGAGCTTGGAGAGAGAGAGCTGGAAACAGGGCTGTTCTTTCCCGCCCCCGTGCCCGGCCAGACTGGCTGAATCGGAAGTGCACTGATAACAACGACATCATCGATGATCAGCTAGACATCCGCGGAGAGCGCCGGGTCGCGGCCCATGACGGCAGGCAGAAATTTCCCGTATTCCCTGATGAAATGGCAGCGCGCGGCGTTCTTCCATGCAGCGAAGATGAACCAAGACGTGGATGGTGGTTGTTGGCGGACCCACGGAGTCATACTGCTGCAGAGAAGAAAGCTGGAAGAAACGCACAGCGCACACAGCTCAGACCATGAGCAGGCTTGATGAAGGAGGCCAACAACGGCGGTGGCGCTTTCCAGGTTTCTTTTGGGGGTGTTTGGGGTGAGGCGTGTTAGTGGCAGTGGTGGTCCTGCCTGGCCTGCAGAGGCGGTCTCGGGCAATTCTTTTGGATTTCGGGGCCCTTGCATTGGCAGGTCGCATTTGAGTACATGCCTATGCAGGTACGGCTGAGATGCATCTCTTCGAGCTGACCTCATTTTCAGGCCGTGAGCGCAGCCAACTGCAGAAGGCAAGTCAGGCGATGACTGCGACCCCTTTTTCTCGGTAGCAGAATCTCGCATCTAGACATCTGAGTTGAATCATGCCCAAGAAACCGCAATTCCAGATTCCATCGCGGCAGATGATGCTGGCGGCGCAGACGGTAGACCTAGGCGCCGGTTGTCGCAAGCCACGAATATGAGACTGTGGGGAAGAGATACCTAGGTGTAATACACCGACCACATGCACCACCTTCCTCTCTCTTTTGCCCGAGTGTGTCTAGAATCCAGATGCAGACGAAATGATCGATTCGAGATTCGAAAAGGGAGGGGACGTGATACGGTTCCATTTCGTCTTCTTCCCAAATCGTGCAGAAGATCATCATCATAATCAGCGTAGGGCAGGAGGCCAGACGGGGGTGTGTTGCTCTTTGCAATCTTGCTTGTGGTTCGTCTAACTCAACTGTGGCTGCCGCGTTCAATCAAAAAAAAATCTGCCAGACCTTGCACCTTGCAGTTGTAAGGTGCGTGTCCATGCGAAACGACGGGAGCAGATTGGACGAATACGAAAATAAACTGTCATCGGAGCCGGACGGCAACGCCAAACTCGTAGCTGAGGAAGATGGAACATCCTGATGCTGCAACACCGTCACTGAACCATTCCTTTTTAAAAAGACCACCGCGCCGATTCGTCTGGCTCGGACTGGATCAACGGGGGCACTGACTACATTAGCACTGCCGCTGCAGCGTGCATCTGGGCAGGTCTGCACTAAGGTAGTTGGTAGGACGGCTAGACTGTGATGGAATTAGACAGATGAGATTTGGATAGCTTCAGGTTGCTCTCTTCCTTCCAGCAGAGGCCAGCGCGAGCGAGTGTTAGTGCCAAGGCACGAATGGACAGGCCGAAGACCGGTTCGTCTGGGCGGCACCTGCAGAAGCCATACGTAGTAAGGTAAGGTACTTCGTAGACCAGAGACCTGACAGCGTGAGCAAGAGCTTCATCTCATTTTCTGGGTCCTTGGTGCTAATGTCGCTTAGCTAATTTCCCGGGCGCACCAGTCCAAGGCCGCTCATTCACCTCTGCCCCCCTTCTTCCTTCCCAAGTTCCCAAGTTCCCAAGTGCTGCTGCAAGGCCCCCCCGCACCCGCCGATCCCTCCCAAATCAGTGGACTACCACTTCGGGTACCTTGCAGCTCCGCCCTCTAGCTGCAAGGCCGGTGCTGTTTCTCTCTCTCTCTCTCTCTCCCTCTCTCTCCCCCGCCGTCACTCGTCGCTCTCAGTCGCTGTTGCTGTAGGTCGATAGTGGTGGCTCACATCATCCCCTATTTTCCCTCGTAACCTTGTCTTTTTGCGCTTTCGTTGCTTCTTTCCGCCTTGTTCCTCACTGACACGGTAGCCTGGAAGCAACTGGAGTCCTGTTCTCGAACCATACACACGCACACCAACGCTCTGAGCTGAATAGTGCTGACCCTCTGCAATTGGCCAACCTCATGCTGTCTCAAAGTCACCCGTTTTCCTGTCCTGCGCCCACAGCTGCCGAGTCGTCAAATCTTGGGCACAATTAAACGCCCTCCATCAACGGTGGATTCGGTTGGTCAAGGGCTCTCGCTCCGTCGTTCGCTTTCTTCTAATTCGCCTCTTGCCTTCTCTCTTGCTCTTTCTCGCCGCCGGTTGCTCTGGGTGCCCAGGTGCTGGATCGTCTTGGCTTTCCAATAAGGGTTGACACGACCACGCTTAGCCGGGATTGCCATCTCGCCTCCCCTTTCCCTTGCGCGCTGTCAATCGTTTTGCATGGGTCAACTTGAAGATTGGCCAAGAACCCACCAACACCGACAATTGGTTGGCTGCGGCCCTCGACTCGCTGCCAGTGCTGTTCACCAGCAGATTGCAAAGTCCCGTATCTCTCAGCCCTTTGCCCAGGGCCCTCGCTCTGCCATGTCTCCGTCCACAGCCTGTCAGACTGACGAAGGCGACAGCTTTTGATCATTGCTCCGGCTTCCCATGATCAAGGTCCTGGGGCTCTCTCCACCGGCCTTGCCGTCTTGGGCTTCGAGGCCCTTGGAGGATCAAACGGTTCTGGCTCCTCTTCTCGCTCGGGTTCAGGTTCTAGGTCTGGTTCCTCGACCTCATGCCGTGGCTCGTGGCCTTGCCTGCTGCCAAGTGAAGCAGGGGCTTGTTTGCTGGCAGCAAAAAGTCTTGCTGGCAAGTTACCTCACTTCTGAGGTGCTGCTTGTGCACACTAAAACAACGAAACGACGCTTCCTGGCATGGCTGAGATGCGCCCACATGGCCATGGCCACATCCCTATCCAGTCCGTCGAGCCCATCAAGCCATGGATGAACCGGTTCCCCGTTGGTAAACAAGTGTCACCCACACCGGGCACACACCTTCAGAACGAGTGCCCATTCGTACTAGGTCCGGTATGCTTAGATGCCCACCCGTCGTCCACATCTGCTGGGCATCCACATCCACACACAACCTATCCTTGAGGTGGGCGGGCTACACACCGCACCGCGTCGTGCACACACCCCGGTTCGTCGTCGGCCACCCCCAAGACCCCCCCAGGTCAGGGACTCCTCCCAGAGTCGTACCCATGAGAGAGTACGGATACTAGCCTTCTACCTAATCTAAGCAAGCAACCACCATACATAATAATAACATCCCAGTCCCGCCCGTTTCTTTCCCTCTCTTCTCTCCTTTCCCTTCCTCACGAAAACACCGTCAAATGAGTTGATGCCGTCAACGTAGTTTCGTCGTCCTTTCGTCCTCTCATCACCTCAGCTTCACTACCGCTTCACTCTTTTAGCGGGCATTCGCTTTCTCGTACCGACACCTACGTCGATAATACACGAAAACAACAAAAATCCTCAAAAAGGCAACTTAATTTCCAATCATGAAGGGCTCCATCTTCGCTGCCGCCGCCGCGGCCATTGGCGGTGTCAACGCTGCTTCCCACCACCGCCACGCTCACGGTGAGCTGTTCAAGAGAGGCGCCGAGGCCTCGGTCTGTGTCCCCGGATGCACCACCATCTACACCACCATCCACGGCGAGCCTACGCGTGAGTTCTTACCTTATCCCCTTGACTCGGCCAAGAGTGCCCCGTCTCTGCCCTACGGCATGGCCACGGTGAAGATCGTGGCTATCAACATGAAAGATCGTCGAGCTGACCGGAAGATCAGTGGTTCCCAACCCTCCCAGCAAGCCTTCCACTGCTGCCAGCGCTCTCCCCTCCGCCGCCACCTCGGCCCCCGTCGCGCCCAAGCCCACGTCCACCTACAAGCCCCCCGTGGACCTCCCGACTCCCGTTCCCGAGATCTGCCCTACCCCCGGCACTTACACCTTCCCGGCCACCACCATCACCGTGAGCCAGACCACCACCGTCTGCGGCGCCCAGACTACCGCGGTCCCCTCCGGCACCCACACCTTCGGAGGTGTCACCACCGTCGTCCAGAATGCCACCACGGTTGTGTGCCCCTACGCCACTGAGAAGACCACCAACGGTGTCGTCACCTCCGTCGTCGAGACCACCACCTACGTCTGCCCTACCCCGGGAACTTACACCATTGCTCCCACCACGGTGACCGTTACTGTCCCGACCACCACCTGCGTCTACCCCGTCGTCACCACCGTCGTCCCTGGTACCTACACCCGCCCCGAGGTCGTCACCACCGTTGTCGAGACCAGCGTCGTCGTCGTCTGCCCCTTCACCTCTGAGGAGCCCAAGCCCACCACCACCTCCGTTGCCCCGGTCCCTACCACCCCGGCTCCCGCTCCCACCACCTCTGCCGTCGAGGCCCCCAAGCCCACCACCGAGGCTCCCGCCCCTGCCCCGACCACCTCTGCCGTCGAGGCCCCCAAGCCTTCCAGCGCTTCCTCCTCCGCCCCCAAGCCTTCTGCCACCGCTCCCTCCACCGGTGGCAACCTGGGTGGCTCTGGCGACCACTGGGCCATGACCTACACCCCCTACGCTGAGGACGCCTCCGGCTCCTGCAAGAGCGCCGACCAGGTCGACTCCGACATTGCCTCCATCGCCAAGGCTGGCTTCCAGGTCGTCCGTGTCTACTCTACCGACTGCTCCACCCTCGAGAACGTCGGCTCCGCCTGCGAAAAGTACGGCCTCAAGATGATCATCGGCATCTTCGTCAAGGCCACCTGCGACCCCACCTCCCAGGAGATCAAGGACCAGGTCGACGCCATCACCGCCTGGGGCAAGTGGAGCATGGTTGAGCTCGTCGTTGTCGGTAACGAGTGCATCTTCCAGGGCCGCTGCTCTGCCTCTTCCCTGAAGCAGCTCATCGTCTCCACCAAGGCCACCATCAAGAGCGCCGGCTACACCGGTCCCTTCACCACCGCCGAGACCGTCGGTGTCTGGCAGCAGACTGACGTCGTTTCCGAGATCTGCGACGCCGTCGACGTCGTCGGTGGACAGATCCACCCCTACTTCAACGCCGAGACCGCCGCCTCCGACGCTGGTAAGTTCGTCAAGGGCCAGCTCGAGATTCTCGAGTCCTCCCAGATCTGCGGCTCCAAGGCTGCTATCAACCTCGAGTGCGGCTGGCCCTCCGGCGGCTCCTGCAACGGCAAGGCTTGCCCCGGTACCGCCGAGAGCAGGCCACCGCCATCAGCTCCATCCGCGAGATCATTGGTAGCAAGACCGTCTTCTTCTCCTTCAAGAACGACGAGTGGAAGGAGCCCGGCTCCTGCGGCTGCGAGCGCACCTGGGGTTGCGGTGACCTCTTCTAAGAGGGAAGAGCGACTACACGAGAAGCCACCGAAACAAGACAACCTTTCAACTTCACGCGGCCTTGCTCACGCCCTCCTGTCTATGATGTTGGTCCCTACATATAAACCAAAAACAAGATGTACATGAAGTCATTTTTCAAGCACCGTTCCATCCGACGACAATTTCGACGAAACGTTTTTCAAAGCAATTGGATACCCAACCAACCCCCTACCCAACGAGGAGGAGAGAAGAGGAAGAACAGGAGGGGGAAAGACGAGAAGAATCAACCCTTCTTCCGACGTCCAGGGATTTTTATGTAACATACTGTCATCTAAGCATTTGATGTATATATAATATTTCTGGGTTCAGCGACGGAAAAGGGGGGCTACCCCTTCACCCTGTGTAACTCTGATTTCCTTCCCTTATGTATCACTTAGGGGGCATGATTCGTCGCGGCAGGATTGAAAGGCGGCAACGAAGAGAAACCCCAAAAATTATTTCATGTGTCATCTAAACAAGCCTTCTTTTAAGCCTGCCTCATGAGCCACAAACAAATCCGATTTAATGTTGTAATTGAAGACATTTGCGTGCCAATGTGACAATGGAAAACAAACAACAAAGGGGTGTCATTCGTCTTGGCGAGTTCAGATATGGCCCAGCATTCCACCCACACAACGTCGCATCCGAAATCCCAGATGAACCACCCGTTCATCCGAACAATCGGGTTGTCCAAACTGTGTCTAGCCTCCAATCCGCTCCATGATTAGCTCACCGATCCCGTTTCGTTCCAGGTCGCACCGAAAACCACCCATCAAAGAAACGGAGAAAAACAAAAAACGCCGCTTCTTCCTCCCTTTCACCATCATCGGTCAGTCGCCCTCCCCCCCCCCCCCCCCCCCCCCCCCCTTTGTCATTTGAATTCCCAGCCGTTGTCCTTTTCGGGTCCATTGTGGCTGCGACGCTAAGACGACAACGTGCATTTCAGATCGAATTGCGACTAAGAATAAGGGGTGGTGGGTTTCCCAAAAAAAAAAAAAAAAAACCCGCCAAACCGTTTATGAGGCGCTCGAGAGGCACCGCCTCTAATAACGATGCACACACGGCAGTTGCATGTCCTACCTAGGAAAGGTAAACAGCAAGAATGCGGCAAAAATGCGGGCTCCACTCATGCGTCTCGATGGCATCGTCCAACGGTCAATAGTCGTCGATCGTCACCAGGAGCAGTCATTCCCCATTCTACTTGAACCGCACAAAGTAGTAGACACTGGCTTCAACAATCAATGGATTTGGTCTATCAAAGTGGTCCCCTCAAAAACCGTCCCCCAGGTGTATCTCGCGAGAAATAAAAGGGGATATGTGTGTCCAAAAAACGTACCAAAAGCACGCAGTACTTTCATGGAATGAAATGATGAAAACCGAGAAACCATGCGACAGACACCATTTCCGAATGCCCCCCATCCGTGACGTCGTTAAAATCCTCCATGCCTAAAAGAATAAGTTTCAACGCTGTGCTAGATCAAAACATAGAAAAAATGCTTCGGAGGGGTCTCCTTCCACAGGCCTTGCCATGCTATTTCCCACCTTCAGACACATGCACTGTTTCGAAAAACCCATCTATATGCCAGCCGTGTGTCGTCAAAGAACAGGACAAGAAAAGAGAACCAACCAATGCGAAACAGTCGCGAGGCCGCATTACAATGGACGGGGTCGTTATCGTTAAAGGCAAATGAGTCCGCAAACGCCAAAGCTTTGCCACCCGGACGCCTGGCCGTCCGAAGCACCGATCGTAGTGCCGTCTCCCCGGGTATCAAGTTCTTCAGAATGGCTCCAAATCGTCGAACACGGACAGTTTTCTTGCCGCTTTAGCAGGGTAGCTGCGAGGATAGGTCCTTTCGGGATAGGACACGCCGAGGTCAGGAGTTCGCACGTCGATTTCCTGTGGTTCGTCCACCGATTCGAACCCTCCCCAAGCACCCAGATCACAGCGCTCCAGCTGAAGCAGTCCACCCCGTGTTCGATCCATGCAGAGAACATTGAGGTCTTGGCCATCATTTGCGAACTCCACGCCTCCAATCTCTCCAAAGATGTCGAACGACTGCTTTTGCTTCAGGGTTTGTGCGTTGATGATGTTGATCCAGTCGGCCTCCTCCGCCGCAACTAGAACACTTGGGCCGCTGCCCGTGGGCGAGAAGCGCAGGCTGCGCACTCCGGCCATTTCCGAACGTATTGTCTCCAGCGGATACCCATCGCCATTGGGCTTGGTCCATTTTCGAGCATCCCAAATCTTGACAGTCATGTCCTGAAAGCCCGTTGCAACAGTGTAGCCATTGTCTGACCAGTCGCACGCGAATCCAAAGTCGCGATGTCCGCCCAGCTCTTGCAGGATCTCGCCAGTGGCCGCATTGGCAATCATAACGTTGTAGTTGTCACCAACCATCACGCGAAGGCGACGGTCAGCCGAGAGAGCGGAGCAGTTGATGGGACACCCGTATTGTGTCTCCAAAACAAACCTCTCGGTCGCCACATCCATCACGCGGAACCCTTGATCGTTGCTTGCAAAAGCAGCCATCGGCGTCGAGTTTCGCGACTCATGGATCTGTAGGTGGTTGGTGATTCCGCTAATGTGGTTAGTTATTTGGCCCTCCGTGTACTTCTTGTCCTGGCTGTGGACATTGCGCATGCAGTATTCGCCGTTGAAGGTACCGGCAATCAGAACTCCGCAGTTGGCGTCCAAGGTAGAGATTTGAACATTGCCCAAGTCGCTGAGGTCCATAGCTACCTCACTCTGGCCGGTGACGGGGTTGAGCTGGTGTACAGCTCGCTGGCCTGGATAGAAAATACGGCTTCTACCCGCACATGCCAGGATGTTTCGCAACTGGAAATGGGCCAGGTGGACGTTCTGCCGGACATCCATACGGCGGAACCTGAAGAAGTTCTCAGTGCTATAGAGTTCTCGGTCTGGGTAGTCCAACTATAGAAGTGTTAGCTTGTCTAGGTAGACTGCAAAATGGCTCATGGAAACTCTCACCTCCACTTTGTCTGAGCCTGCCCGGTTAGTATAGTTCTTGTAGTCCAACTTCCTACGAACGCGGGCCTCCGAGCGAAGGACCCCAAGGTCTTCCCAGTCGATTCCTTGCAGGTCGCACCTGTCACCTTCCAGGTCCGAAAACCGCACTCGGGCAACCTTCTGTGCGGATTGCGCGCTGATTGACCTGATACTGGGCCTAGGACCATTGCGGTTGCGCCAAGCCCAGTCTCTCAAGAAATCCCGGAGGCAGAGGTTCTCGGGGCCAAGAGTGCTTGGATTTGCGTTGCTGGCGGCTGGGGGGCCATCCTCTTGCCATATGGCCTCTTCCTCCTCGTCGACACCCGTGACAACATGCTGTTGAAGTGCCCCAGAAACGCCAGAGATGGCGGGGTATGTTGACTGCCATGTATCGTCATCATCCTCGTCCATGCCTCCAGCGCTCAACATTGGGTGAAAAGGGATGGTGTTAAGCGGGGTAGGATGGATAGGCCCTGATGGATCGAACACAGGGCCAGAATGAACCCAGTAGGACGTCATATGGGAAGGAGGTTCGGCGGGCAGTTGTCCATGGATCGTGTTGTGGGCATGCGGGGGGCCAGGATACTGTTCGGAGTTCAGCATCGCGCCAGTTCCCGGCACGGGCGAAAGGGTGCTGGTTACGGGCACAATCGTTGTGTGACCCAGAGGAGCACCGCCGTCGCTGTCGCTCATATCCATGTCTTCATCGTCCTCCTCGTCAACGTCATCTTCGTCATCATCGTAGTCTATGTATTCAGGATCGTAAGGGTGCTGGTTGTATGAGAAGGAGTTGGCGGCATCGTAGAGGGACGACGGAGCGACGGGGAAGTGGTTGACGAAGTGAGATGTCGAAGCAGCGTACGAAGCTTGGGCAAAGTTTTGGCCATGCGTTGGTGGCTCTTGGGGGTAATTGTGTTGGCTTGTCTCGCGAGCAGGCTGGTGATGGGAATCTTGGTCATAGGGACCATCGACTGGCGGAGCGAAGGTCACACTGTGGTGATGGTTCGAGTGAGCGGGTGTAGCCTGTGCTTGGGAAGGCTGAGAGCCGGCTGTTTCTGAGGTTCTTGGGCGCATCGTGCTCGCTTCAAGTCTGAGTCGTGGCCCGAATGGGCATCATCGAGGTCAGGTATACAGCAAAGAAGCGGCCGCCTTGGTTGGGTCGAATGGAGGCTTCTTCTGGAGCGGTCGAGATTGTAAGTCGTATGTTTACCCGAGGTCACGTCTATTGCCTGGACGAGTCGTTGATACGGATGGCCACCGGCGTATTCGGCAGTCCAAAAGCTCCGTTGCTTCTTCCTCCAAGCACACGGGGCACAATTCAATCTCGCGCAGTCGATGACCGGTCGGTGTGCAACGTTTGCGAGAGCGGAGCAAGTCGGTCTTCGTTCACAAAGTTGGAATGCGAGGAGAATGTCAATTCGGAACGAAAGTGTCGCCGCCTGCCCTGGGTTGTCGTGAGATGTGTGGCGGAAGGTGTTGGTCGAGTTCTGGGCGAACGGACTGGGAGGTTGTTAGAGTCTGGTCCGGGCAGTCGAGGATGCGGTCAGGCGTAGGTCAGGTCGAGTCCAGTGCCAGTGCCAGTGCTGGTGTTGTAGCAGGGCGGGAGCGGGAATGGGACCCGAGCGGGAATCTTTCACTGGGATCGAAGGACAATGGGGAAGGGTACCTCACTGCGAAAGGCGCGCCAACCAAATATTGAAGACTTGACGAGGTCTCCGAGTTAAAGAGGTACTTGTATCTCAGTGGCAGCACTGGCTGCAGAGCATGTACCTTCACTGCAAAGATACACTTGGTGGAACCTCGTCGATGGTGCTGTGACAAGGCCCGATCCCTCTCAGCTCTCGTCAATCCCCGCTAAATTACTTGGTGCTGAGAAGAGCGGCCCTGGTCTTTGTGGGTTCGGAAGGTGTGGAGGACTCGACCTGGATTTCCTTCCACCATTGGATCCCTGCGTGCCTTGCTACAAATACAACCGTCTTTTCAACAACGCTCTACTGTCGCAGCTTTCGAAGGTGAGGAACGGAGGGTGCCTCATTTTCCTAGCCGCCGAATCGAAATTTGAGTTCGAGTCAAGATCGTGGCTTCTGCTGGGTCTCCCACGACAGGCAAGACATCGTTGCGTCCCGACAATCCTCGCAAAGATTGGCAACATGGTGGTAGTGGTGGTGAGGCTGGTTCAAGGATGGCCACCTCCACCCTCACCACCACCACCACCACCACCTGCACTCAAGGACCGGAGGGGCATGCATGCCCTCGGCCACTCATGCCAGCCAACCTAATGCCGCGAGCACACGAACCCTGTCCGTCTGGGAATCTCGAGCTTCGCAGCGCGGGCATCTGTTGCTTTTCTGCGCAGCACAGAGGGAGAAGTATTACGGGAACTCACCCTAGTCCAACAAGACAGAGACTGGTCCCGACGCCAGCTCTATGGACGCCACCTCCAATATCATATGCATGGCTGACTCTGGGCGGGAAATGGTGTGCGGTGCTGAGTGCCCCCATGGAAACCCCGGGGAACGCAACGAGACCGCCGACAAACGACGAGAACACCTCAGCTCATTCTGTATCACGTTACGGATAGCACGCATACACAGGGGAACGAGGCGAGCTTGGAGACAAGACCACCTGCATTTCGTTGGGCTTGGCCTGGTACGGATGGGATACACGAGCAACCTTGTCCACGACGCCGCGGTAGCTTGCACCTGGCCAGGCCAGACCCGGCCACTTCTTGTCACTACAAAACCATGTTCCGATGGGACGCATCGTTTTCGACAAGCAGCATGTTGCCACAATTAGCAGAAACCCCAGCTGTAATACCGCTCCGGCCGAAAGAAATGTGCACTGCGGCCAGCTCTCCGTCCGCATGCTTCTTTAGTGCCCCCCGTATGGAGTATCCGTTTTCTCACCTCGCTTTGCTACTTTCAGACCGTGGACCTGTTCCCTTCTTCAACTCACTCTGACGTCACGACCCAGCCGACGTTCAGACGTTGGACAGCAGCCTCCAACGTCTTGGGAGGACCTGACTCTTGCCGCAGCGCTAGTTGGTCATGAGCAGTCCCAGAGAAAGCCATGCAACCATATCCGGCCTACAAAGCATGCTCTAGTGCGCGAATATACTCTCCATGTGCTGCTTACCTACGCGACATTGCAGATCCTCACCCCGATTGCCAATACCGTGCAGTAAACCAACCCAACCACGCGTTGACGGAGTCGGTTTCTTCCAACGGCGGCCTAACTGTCCTTTCTTTTGATCTCCAGCCTCCCTTGTAAGCATACCTCTACGACGGTCGTTCTCGCTTCCCGTCCGTCAGATTTGGGCATTGACGAAAAAAGGGCCAGTTTTGATTCATTTTCTCCAAACCTCGCAACATTCACAATGTGACCTGTCACCCCGCTCACTTTCTGACCTTGGTTATCCAGGGGTGCTAGCCCACATTCATGTAAGTCGTTGGATTAGGAAGCCTCCCCTTCCACGCCGACCCAAGCTAAATTATACAGAACGCTCACCGACTGCCACCTGGCATCGGAAACCGGGCAAGAACGGCAGGCCTCAGTTGTCTTTTGCTTTCGCACGGGACACTACCGAAGGATTCCTTCGCTGGCGACGCAAGCTTACCTTACTCCTACGAGCGACTCACATCGACACACCGCTGAAGCCGTCTCATTCGCCAGCGGACCCCTATATTAGAAGCTGACATTAAGAACAACTGCTCGGCCGATGCCAAAATCTGACCAACCGCAACCTCACCTCCAAGCCACAGCAGCATCCCGATCAGTCCAATGATGGAATCCCTGGAGTAGCTGCCTGCCAGCCATCGGTGCGCCAGAATGAAAAGAGAAGCCCAACCCCAACCTCACGCGCGCGTGACAGGAGACCTGAGGTGATCAATCACAATCGGCAGCGTGCGGGTCCCCCGAGTTTCAAACCATCCCCAATACTAACCATTTCCTTGCTGCCTCCGACCTTCAGGCTCCGCAAACTCGTTGCTTTTTCACAACTCGCCTGTGCACTTGCTGCCCTCGTCAGTGTCTATTTACCCAACCCCTCGCCTTTTACGCAGGGACTCGGAAACACGACAGGGGATAGGAGAAAAAAACCGATCCAACCTCTCGCAGAGGAGGGTTTTTTCTGTCTTTCCAACACTGCTCACATAATCGCACAATTTCCCGCTGAGGTCTGCTTATTCATGGAGTCCTTCAACATGCGCGGCCGCCAACATGAAGAGAGTCCGCAAATCAGGACTGCTCTGTTGAAATCCCACAGCAGGATCGACCACTCCCATGTCAGAAATACAGTGACCCCGGAAACCAAGCTTCGACCCTTCAGCCATGAACAGAACCTCGACTGATCGACATGACCGCTGAGACCGAGCTCCACGCCGAGTCTCAAGCCCTGTATTTTCCTTTTGAGCTTTTGAGCCTCGACAAAGCCTCGTCTCGATTTTCCATCGTCAAAGGCGCCAATAGCTCGAGGTTACGGGCGGGGCGGGCCCTCCCCCATCCCAAATCCACATTCTAGAAGAATGAGAATGGGCAGAAAAAAAATCACAAGAGCAACGCTGCTACCTAAACTCGGGGCGCTGCGGCGCTTCGGGTAGAAGCATCCAACCCAGTCCAACGACACACCGGTCAAAATTTTGCTGAAAAAAGCAAAGAGAATCCCGTAACCAAGGCCCTATTCCTTGCGCGCAGTTCCCGCTGTGAGACTAAAAGACACCCTGATGACCCCCACCGGGCGCAAAGGCCGTGCGGCCAACATGCCTCTCTCGCTTGCACGCTGGAGGAGGGGAGCAGGAGACGTCAAGAAAGTGAGAAAGAAAGAAAACAAACTATTTCCTGCCTGCCCGAGAAAGCATGCGAGCTGCGGGAACGGTACGAATCCGAAGACACACTATCCAGCAGGAGTCCACCCGCAGAGGCAAGGACAAACCAAATAACAACAAAACCAAATCATCATGTCTCGGCTACCTGCAGCCATACCATGCAATGCCCTCCTCCCTCTCTCCCCCTCGCATCCCCCACTCCTCCTCGCCTTCTCTCTCTCTCGTCTCCGCCGCCTCTTGGTCGCATCTCCAATGTCTGTGCTGTGCGCATTTTACTCCCCGTCAGCCTAGCATCCCGTTTCTTTCTCCTCGCCGTTACCTGCCCGCCCGCTTTTGCCTGCCGGGCACCCAGAAGGAGGACCAGACCAACTACCCAAGTAGGCAAAAGGTCGTTCCGCGTCAGTGTCCCCTCCAAAACCGAGGGGGCTCCACAATCTCACCGGCCCGCCGGGATCTCCAATAATAAGATCCGTTACCCGTGGCCGTCCGGCGTTGCGTCCGCCCTCCCCCCTTCTTCTCGAAAACTTCAACTATGAAGTAAAGAAGAAAAGAAGCCCGTCCAAGTTTGATCGGAACCACACCGTCGTAGTATCAAGAGAACCCGTAGTCTGAAGAGAACCGCGGGACGGCACGCGAAAGCTACTTTGAGAATGAGAAAAGAAAGCGAATGCCACCTCATGTAACTCTGTAACTACACACACCACAACAGGAAAACCGAGATACAGTATGGGGAAGCGAGACCAAGCCAAGCTATGACTGCAACAGAGAGCGAGCGAGAGGAAGAATTCGGCGGACACGGCTGAGGCTGTGCATTGGCAAGGCAAAAGGAAGAGGCCACCCATCCTTTACCAAGGACGTCTCCTTCCTCCTTCACAAATTCATACGGAGGAGGAGGGGGGAATGGTGGTGGTTACACAGAGCCGCCAGCACAACCACCAACGCCGCTCTTCCCATTTCTTATTCCCATGTTGAACGTGACAAAGTGCCCAAACCAAAATTCCTCTTCCCATCAGCTAGCTGTATAATGACACGCAAGAGTATGATGATTGTAAAAAGTGCGTGTGTGCGTGTGCCATTTCGTCTCAGACACGGCTCGCGCTTCTCGGCCGGAAAAGGCCAGGAGGGGGAGCCAGCCTGTAGGTACGCCGCGTATCAGGGGCGACGCGGCACATCTAGACACTTCCATGCTGGGTAACTTCAAGTCACGTCCCAAGGGGGCGAGTTACACGACACGGTTCAGTAACAGTTTGA